GGAGTTGAGGCTCCACGGAGTTGAGGCTCCCCAGAGTGAGGCTCCCCAGAGTGAGGCTCCATGGATTTGAGGCTCCACTGAGCAAGGCTCGCCACTGCCAGGACCTGGAGCTCAGATTTGGGGCAGCAGCACCATGTAAACAAAAGACCAAGCCATGCCTGTTCTCTTCTTCACAGGAGTTAATTTTGTAAACCTTAGTTGCTTATTGAATATTTTCAGTTAGAGATACAAAGGAATCAGGTGCATGATTATGTTTTTCTTCAGGACATTTTGATATTTGAAAAAAAAGGGCTTCATTCATAGTAATGCTACTTTCAGGGGAAAATTATGTTTCAATTGTGACTATTTCCATCTTCATTGAACCAGTGTTTTAAAATACAGATCAGGAAACAAAAATGTACTTTCTTCCCCATACTAAGGACACGAAATGGCAAGTGCCCTGGTAGAGCTGGTATGCCAACCTGGGGCCAGCTGCTTCCCTGAGCTGAGGAGTTAAATCTGCGGCTGAATCACAGAACAGCAGAAAACATGTTTTAAGAGCTTTTACAGTGCCATGCCCTGGGGACCCCTTTTCTCTGGTAATGCGTAAAAGCTGGAGCAGTTACACTTTAGTCGGGACTTCCTCTCTCACTGGGAAAATGTGCGTGTCCCGCTGTCTGTAGGAAGCGTGGAGTCATGCTTATGTTCATCTGCTACTTGGTTCATTTTTAAAACCCCCTCAGCTCTTGTATTTCTATTGGAGTCGCATTGCTGTCATTCAAAAGTTGACTGAGGTTTTCTGTGGTCTTACGGAACCCTCTTTTTTGAATATTGATATTTCAGCCTGCAGATATTCCAAATAAAGTCTGCTCTATTGATCTAAAAAGAACAACAAAATCATTAATATAGCATCCTGTGACTGTTTAGTTATGAAAAATAGTCATAATTACAGGTACACTTTGGATGAAAAACTTGTTTTCTACAAATCGTGCAATGCATTTAAAAAAAAATGTTTTGAAGTTATTTCTCCAAAGAATTAACATCCGAAAGATGACTTCCACTGTCTAGAGCTGTGTTACTGCCGCAGTTTTTTTGTTTTGTTTTCATTTGCTTGTGTAGTTAACAAGCTTTAACGCTAAGCTGTGGGACAGGATTTCTTCCTGATGACCCTTTCTTTGATCATCTCCAGGGTTTCTTTATGCTCACGGAGATTTCAAAATCCTGGTGGTATTAGCACATTGATCTTTGTTTATTATCCATTACTTGAGTGTTGTCTGAGCCTCATATTGTCTCCGTGAGAAGTTATTCCTGCATCCACCGCTCAGTACCACACGTAAGGATCTCTCTCTCCACGTCAGAAACCAAACAAGTCAACATCAGGAAAGAAAATTCTCCTTAGAGTAGAGGTCAAGCTTAAAAGTTATGGTAATTTTTTTTCTTTAAAAAAAAATCTTCCTCTGTGGTTTCTTGGTTTATGTGTTATTTGGCTTAATTTAAATTTATTAATTTAATAAATTAATGTAACATAGAGAGTGGCTGCAACAGTGGACTCAAGCATAACAACGACTGTGAGGATGGCACAGGACCAGGCGGTGTTTTTCGTTCTGTTACACATAGGGTCGCTGTGAATCGGAACCCACACGGCAGCACCTAACACTAACAACACCACCATACACAGATTGTGTATGAGCCCCCATAGCAAAGGAATAAATTGGGAAGAATTGTGCCATGGGAGTTTTGGGAGGCCTTAAATTTTTTTTGTCACTTCCCATCTCCTAGCTTCATTGCTATATGAACTGTCTCATATTCTCGAATTGCTATATGAACTGTCTCATATATTCGAATTTCCATCAGAACTTTGTCAGTGTCCATGTGGATAAAGTAGGTTAGGATCCTTGGCAAGTGGCATTCCACTGAAGTCTATAGAATAACATTTTCTCACAAGTTTTTCTTTCCCCCTTGGTGGATTTTAGCCTTAATTTTTAAAAATAATTTTTAATCTTAATTTTTAAAAATTATGAGAGTTTTCACACCTACACGAAAGTAGAAGGAATAGTACAAAGACCTTCCGTGTAGCCGTCCCTCAGATTCAAGATTTTGCCACACTTGCTTCACATGCCCCTTGTTTTGTTACTGTTTTGATATGGTATTTTAAAGGAAATCTTTGCCAGCTTATCATTTTACCCCTGATGAGTTCCACCGTTGTTGTTAGGTCCCGACTTATAGCGACCCCATGTACAACATAACGAAACCCTACCCGGTCCTGTGCCATCTTCACAATCATTGTTAAGCTTGAGCCCATTGTTGCAGCCACTGTGTCAATCCATCTTGTTGAGGGTCTTCCTCTTTTTCGCTGACCCTCTACTTT